TCCAACTTTCTTCGCTAACTCTGCTTTTAGAAAGCAAGTGGCCATGTTTTTACTTTCCAGGCAGAAAATTGGGAGATCCTTCTAAGAAGAAACTGAAATGTCTCGAATAAAGATCCCCAGATAATACACTGAGGTCCCCCAAATGAAAAGCTAGTTTGGCTTCCAACACCTCACACTGAGGGCTATCAGTTAACAGAAGTCCTGCTTCCAAATAAAGCAGGCCAGGGAACACCACACATTGGAGGGAAGCCTCCAACAACAGAAATCAAAGCAACAGAAAAAAGGAATTCATGGGAGCAGTCAAAACCAGGAGCAAAACTAAAAAAAAAAATCTTAAAACACTCTCAAAAATATAAAATTCAATAGAAAGAGTAGAGGATAAAGTCACAGAATATCCCAGAACTAGAATAAAAGGACAAACTGAAAAAAATAGAAGGGGAAAAATTAAAAACCAATGCAAGTGTACTGGTCTAAGCAGCCTAGCGTCTGAATAACGAGACTATCAGTAAAAAAGTAACAGAGAAAATTAAAAAAAAAATTCTCAAGAAGAGATAGTCTCAGGTTTAGTAGCCTCAATAAAACGAAAAGATCTCCACCAAGCTGTTATTATAAAATTTCAGAACCTCAGAGAGAAAGAAGATCCTAAAAAGCTTCTGCAGATACCTAAAACCTGGTTGTAAATAGTGTATCACACACTGGCAATAAATTCAAGAACAACACTGTAATGAGAAGCACAATTGCAAAATGTCTTCAGAACCATAAAATCTAGATTCAGCATAGAGGTGTCCTCTCTATCAAAGAGGAGGGATTTTAAGATTGGCCAGCTCTCTAAACATCTCCACCCAGGACAATGTGTTCAGGTACAACTAGAGAGGATAACAGGACAGAAGGAAACACAGAATCAGGGACTCAGGCGATCCCACACAAGACAGCAGTTATGTGAGATCCCAAAAGACTTTAAGGAGATAGCACAGAAAAGCAGACATCGAGCATATCTAGGGAAAGCCACTCCATACTGAACTAGGATGACAAAAGGCCAAAGAAAGTTGCTCCTCCAACACACACACAAAAGGAACAGATGTGTTTTCGCAGATGGAAAGTATCTTTGAAAGGCATGTGATAAATGCTACAACACTTGGGGGAAAATGGCTATTAGAAAATAAGCAAAGGAATATAGTCAGAAAATTAGCTTCATGCTAAAAAATAATGGATGTGAAAGCAAACAGACCACCCAGAGGCTCCTTACTATATTTGGATGGATAAACTAACATAGGCTAGGAAAAAAGAGAAGATCCAGGAGAATTGCAGAAGTGCTCAGATTTCAGAACTGTTTCAGAGACAGGATGAAGGACATGTAATGCAGAGGCACAGTGAAAACACC